CAACATGAACACCAATAACACTTGTTTGAATGATATTACAAGCAGTGCTGGGCGATTTTATCGATAAAATCGATAATTATCGATATATTCTGCCTGTAGCGATCATCGATTACCAAGAGCAAACATCGATGTTTTTTTATCTTTCTAATTTTGTTATGTTTTCGGCCGTTTTAAGCAAAATTGACCTTACTAATTTGTATTTTAAGATTTACTAGATTTAACATATAATATTTCTTCTTCAATAATTTATTATTCAGATTAAATTATTAAAAATTTTGATAAGTTATGTTAGTAAAGTAATATTTCATGAAGAGGTCGGGAAATACGACATTTTACAGAATGGAAATAAATTAATAACTTGATTCTCAAGCGTCAAAGGCGTTTTATTCTCAAAGCACTGTGAATTCACAAGTACGGCTCCAAATATGACTGATTGAAAATATTGTAGAGACTTATTAAAATACCGATACATGTGTCCATTTGGTTATTCAGTCCTCACCAGGTACTAAGAAAGTAGGAAGACTATTAAAATCTTTAAGAAAACAATGTTTCATGAAATCAAAACCTTGACTGATTTTTTCACGTTTAGATGATAACTGAGGCCAATCTGATTGAATTTCATGTTGGTTCTCATCAAAATAAAATTTGATCGCCCGTCCATGTCGTCTATTATAATCTTGTACATAGTTAACAGCATTTTTATTGACTTTTGGACATCCACGAACAGCAAGTAACACTAAATTTGGTAATACCCGGACGAATCGCTCAACATATTCATTTTCTAGGCTTTTGTAGCTCCACAGGGCAAGATGTTTAAGATTTGGATATTTCGTAAACAACCTTTCCAATTCATTCCAGTTGATATTTTCCTTCCAATAAGGTTCATACTGTGTATATACAGATTAGTTAATTAATGTAGATGAATTCAGATACTTTTGTCATGCTGAACATTGATTATTGTTAGCACTCTGGAAATAAATTGTGAAAGTATCTCACAAAAAAGCAAACACATTACAAATCGAATAATACTTACAAATTCTATGACTAAATCTTGTAAAGATTTGTGTTTAATTGATTCATCAACATAAATGCGATTAGATTCAAAGTAAACATGGGCACTCTGTAAGTTTGGACATGAATCCATGAACTGGAATCCATAATTAATGCTTGTATCAGCATAACAAGTGAAGAACAATTCAAGTATTTTAAGTCTTCTGAATATGGGACCACCGTAGGGTCCATCTTGGCAGCCTGAGGATGGAAGATGAATGACTATTATCAAAAATTTGTTCAAAATTCAAAAAAATAAATATAAAAG